CGGGCGGAGAAAGCGAGACATTGTAAACACGTGAATTTCTCTTCAAACTTCAAACATAAGTTTGTGCAATACAGAAACATGAACATTTTTCTCTCAAGCACCTTACATGCAGTTTATGAGAAATAAAAATTTTCACATGTACCTCCATTTTCAAAAAATGTTTTAACTTACTTGAAAATTTTATTTCAGTTCTTTTCTTATTTAGCTTTTTATTTTACTAGAATAAAAACAAAGATACCGACAATAAATATAAAAACTGACAGTTGTCGAATCAGTCGTCACAAGACTAATAGTTATCATGACCATCAACACATAGTGTTCAGTTAATATTAATGTATCACTTGCTAGATACTATACGATCAAAGAGTGGACCGGCGGAGAAAGCGAGACATTGTATAACCACATGAATTTAGTTCGAACTCGAAAGATAAGTTTGTGCAGTACAAAAACATGAACATTTTCCTCTCAAGCAATTTATATGAAATTCCCAAGCAATAAAAAGTTTAAAATTCACACCCATTTTTTCCAAAATGTTTTTATGTTCTTGAAAATTTTGTTTCAATTCTTTTCCTAATTAGATTTTTATTTCAATAAAGTAAAAACAGAGATACTGACAATAAATCTAAAAGCTGAACAATTGTTGAATCAATCGATAGGAGACTAATAATTGTCATGGCACACATAGTGCCCAATGGAAATTAAAGTATTTGATTCAATTTGCTTTTTTACCAACAAACAACAAAAATTACTATCCTCTTCCATCTATAAAATTAAAACAGTAAAAAAGAATACAATCTAGCTTCTGTTGACTTTCAAGTAAAAATATCTTCTTCTGAACAAATATCATTCTTTTCTTGGTATAGTAATTACATTTAGGTTTGTCTAATTTACTATTTGTGAAATACATTGTATTTGGTGTGTCAATTATTATAGTACTATGATAATTGAAAAGTCGAATATAATGATGTGCTAAGGGCTTAAATTAGGATTTGAGTTTTTTGAAAATCAGTAATATATGTTAACCAAAAATAAAAATAAAAATAGTAATGTATCAAAGTGTGTGGGAAATTTAAAGGATTGAGAAAACAAAACGAGATTAATAAATCGTAAATCTTTTATGAGAAAAAAAAACCTTCTAACACCCTTAATTTTGTGCAATTCTCGAGCAATAAAAAGTTTAAAATTGACCTCTATTTCTCTAAAAATGTCTTTACTTACTTGAAAATTTTATTTCATTTCTTCCTATTTAAGTTTTTATTTCACTATAACTAAAGATGCCAAAAATAAATCTTAAAAAAATGATAGTTGTTGAATCAATCGGTACTAGACTATAGTTGTCATGAGTACCTAGACGTAGGGTTCAATGAAAACTAAAGTATCACTTGCTAGATATGGAAAGAGAAATGAGTGAACATGCGGAAAAAACGAGACATTGTAACCACATGAATTTTGATTCAAAATTTAAACATAAGTATGTGCAATACAAAAATATGAACATTTTCCTCTCAAGCAATTTATATACAATTTCTGAGCAATAGAAAGTTTAAAATTTACTTCTATTTTGTCGAAAATGGTTTTACTTACTTTAAAATTTTATTCAATTTTTTTTCCTATTTAGGTTTTTATTTCACTAGAATGAAAACAAAGATACCAACAATAAATCTAAAGGTGATAGTTTTCGAATCCATCGACAGTGGACTAACAGTTGCTATGACCGTCACCACGTAATATTCAATGAAGAATTAAAGCATCACTTTCTAGATACTGTACGAGAAAAGAATGAGTGGCCAGAGAAAGTGAGACACTATAACCACATGAATTTCACTTTGAACTGTAAATATAAGTTTGTAGTTTGTACAATACAAAAATATAAACATATTCCTCTTGAACAACTTATATGCAATTCCCGAGCTATTAAAATTTTAAATTACCTCATTTTTTTCAAAAATATTATTTTTCAACTTGAAATTTTTATTTAATTCTTTTCATATTTAAGTTTTTATTTCACTATAACAAAATAAAGATACCGACAATAAATATAAAATTATACAATTGTGGAATCAATCAACACGAGACTAGTAGTTGTCATGACCATCAACACGTAGTGTTCAACAAAAATTAAAGTATCACTTACTAGATATGACACGAGAAAGGAGCGGACGGGCAAAGAAAGCGAGACACTATAAATATGTGAATTTCGCTTCGAACTTCAAACATACGATTGTGCAATACAAAAACATGAACATTTTTCTCTCTAGTAATTTATACGCAATTTCCGAGCAATAGAAAGTTTAAAATTTATATACTTACATTTTCTCAAAACTATTTTTACTTAGTTTTATTCAATTCTTTTCTTATTTTAAGTTTTTATTTCACTAGAATGAAAACAAAGATACTGACAATAAATATAACAGGTGACAATTGACGAATTAATCGACACGAGACTAACAGTTATCATGGCCTCAACTCGTAATGTTAGCTGAAAAATTAAAGTATCACTTGCTAGATAGTAAACGAGAAAGGAGTGAACGTGTGAAAAAAGTCAGACACTGTAACCACATGAATTTCAGTTTGAACTACAAACATAAGTTTGTGAAATATTAGAAAAATGAACATTTTCCTCTCGAGCAACTTATATCCAATTCACGTGCAATAAAAATTTCAATTTACCTCTATTTTTCCAAAATGTGTTTACTTACTTGAAAATTTTATTTCAATTATTTTCCTATTTAGATTTTTATTTCACTATAACAAAACAAAGATACCGACAATAAATCTAAAAACATACAGTTGTCGAATCAATTGACATGAGACTAACAGTTGTCATGACCATCATCACGTAGCGTTCAATGAAAATTAAAATATCACCTGCTAGATATGACACGAGAAATGAGTGAATGGGTGGAGAAAGCAAGACATTGTAAAAACGTGAATTTCTCTTCGAACTCCAAACATAAGTTTGTGCAATACAAAAACACAAACATTTTCCTCTCGAGTAACTTATATGCAATTTTTGAGCAATTAAAAAGTTTATAATTTACCTCCAACTTTCCAAAAATGTTTTTACTTACTTAAAAATTTTATTTCAATTCTTTTTCTATTTATATTATAATTTTACTAGAATAAAAATAAAGATAATGACAATAAATCTAAAAACTGAAAATTGTCAGACCAGTCGTCACGAGACGAACAGTTATCATGACCATTAACATGTAGTGTTCAATTAATATTTAAGTATCACTTGCTAGATATGACACGAGAAAAGAGTGGACGGGTGGAGAAAGTGAGACACTGTAACCACGTAAATTTCGGTTTGAACTTCAAACATAAGGTTTGTACAATAAAAAACCTGAACATTTTCTTCTCAAACAACTTATATGCAATTCCTGAGCAATAAAAGTTTAAAATCTATCTCCATTATTCAAAAAAATATTTTTACTTACTTTTTAAAATTTTATTCAATTGTTCTCCTATTTAGGTTTTTATTTCACTAGAACAGAAACAAAAGTTCCAACAATAAATCTAAAACTAATTGTTGAATTAATCGACACGAGACTAATAGACCAGTCGGCAAGATATTACACGAGAAAGAAGTGGGACGGCAGAGAAAAAAAGACACTGTATAAACACATGAATTTCGGTTCGAGCTTCAAACATAAGTTTGTGCGATACAAAAACATGAACATTTTCTTTCAATCAATTTATATGCAATTCCCGAGCAATAAAAAGTTTAAAATTTACTTCCATGTTTCCAAAAATATTTTTACTTTCGTGAAAATTTTATTTTAATTCTTTTCCCAGTTAGGTTTCATTTCACTAAAGTAAAAACAAGGATACCGACTATAAATCTGATAGTTGTCGAATCAATTGACATGAGACTAATAGTTGTCATGGCCATCAGCACTTAGAGTCCAATAAAAAATTAAAGTATCACTTGCTAGATGCTACATGAGAAAGGAGTCGACGGGCAGTGAAAGCGAGACACTGTACCCACATAAATTTCAATTCGAACGTGAAACATAAGTTTGTGCAATATAAACACATAAGCATTTTCCTCTTGTGCAACTTATACGCAATTCCAGAGCAATAAAAAGTTTAAAATTTACCTCTATTTTTTTCAAAAATATTTTAGTTATTTGAAACTTTTATTTCAATTCTTTTCCATTTAGAGTTTTATTTCACTAGAATAAAAACAAATATCCAAAAATATTTTCAGTAACTTGATAATTTTATTTCAATAGTTTCCTATTTTGGTTTTTATTTCACTACAATAAAAGCAAAGTTACCAACAATAATAAAACATAGATACCGACATAAATCTAAAAATTAATTGTTGTCGAATCAATCGACACGAGACTAATAGTTGTCATGACCATCAACACGTAGTGTTCAATGAAAATTAAAAAAATATCACTTGCTAGATACTACACGAGAAGGAGTATACGTGCAAAGAATGGGAGACAATATAACCACATGAATTTCGGTTCGAACTTTAAATATAAGTTTGTGCAATACAAAAACATGAACCTTTTCTTGTCAAGTAATATATGCAATTCCAAAGCAATGAAAAGATTAATATCTATCTCCATTTTTCAAAAATTTTTTTACTTAAAAATTTTATCTCAATTCTTTTTCGATTTACGTTTTTATTTCACTAGAATGAAAACTAAGATACTAACAATAAATCTAGAAACTGATAGTTGTCGAATCAATCGACACGAGACTAACAATTATCATGACCATCAACACATAGCGTTCAATGAAAATTAAAGCATCACTTGCTTGATACTACACAAGAAGGGAGTAGATAGGCAGAGAAAGTGAGACACTGTAACCACGAACATTTTAGTTCGAACTTCAAACATAAGTTTGTGTAAGAAAGTATTTGTTAGTTCATTGAATAGTGAATGTAATTAAACCCTAGCAAGACGGCTCCACGCCTTCTCCTTGGCCATCATGGTCGGCGAACAACCGCCGATCGCACCTCCAAAAAAGCCAAAATGTTTGCAAGTTTCTTCCAAAAACTCTCGGCACCAGAGGCAGTCCAAAGCTCGCTCATCAAACAGGTAAAATTCATCAATGGTACTCCAACATTGGAGTATGAGGATGATGAGTTTGAAAAGCTCATTGCTCCGCATCGCTTGAGCCTTGTAGGGAAGTTTTCGTATGGTCGCCCTAAGATGGAGGAAATACATAAGGAGTTCAAGAAAATTGGATTCAATGGTGACTATACATTGGGTTTCATGAACCCTAGACATATTCTAAACCGATTTGAGGAGGAAGATGATTATCAAAGGTGTTGGATTAGAACATTTTAGAACATTGCGGGCTTCTCTATGCGTATTTTGAAGTGGACACCGGGATTCCGTTTTGAGGAAGATCCACCAGTAGTCCCGATTTGGGTATCATTATACGATTTGCCGATTGATTTTATGCACCCGGAGGTTATCTTCTCCATGGCATCCGCAATTGGTCAGCCATTGAAGGTTGATACACCAACCTTGAATATGACGCGGCCATCGGTGGCGCGTTTTTGCGTAGAAGTTGATCTTATGAAGGACCTTCCAAAGTCAGTGAGGATTGGAAAGAAAGGTCGGAAGCACGAGCAGATTTTTACGTATGAACATGTGCCATCATACTGCTCCAAATGTAGCAAGATTGGACACAAATTGGTTGACTGTAAAGTTGGGAAACTGCTGCCGCAATTGAAAGAAATTGAGAAGGAAAACGTTCCGAACACGAAGAAAAAAGGCGTCAAGTTGCAGCAGCCTAAAGTCACTTGGGGCTCCAAACACAAAAAGGATATCCCAGAGCTTGATGTGGAGATTCTGAAAACGTAGCCACTCATTGTTAGGGCAATAGCGAAGCCGGCTAATGAGTCGCAGTTGCAAACCCTAGCTGCCGTACCAGAGGCGCGCGCTGGGGAATCGACTTCTGGTCTATCCAAGAAGGAGAAGAGTGACGTTCCTGTTGATGTCTCAAACAATCCTACCTTGGTACCTCGAGATCATGTTGTCAAAGCAGTTGTTTAGTAAGGAAAAGACAGCAATCAAGGTGAAAATGTTCATATGTTACAATCTGTTGCACAGGTCGATGATAGTGAAAATAAGATTAGTAGCTCTCCTCCTATGGCGGAGGAAGCTCCTGTTTTGGAAAATTCTAATCGTTATGCTGCTCTAGAGGAAGTCTCAGTTGAAGTTGTTGATGAGGAAGAAGTAGTGAAGGTGGCAGATGTATTTGAGGAAGATGCTATGCTATCACATGAAATTCAGAATATCTCTGAGTTAGTTGAAGCCCCGCGCGATGTACCTTTGTTGGCTACCACAAGTCCTCTTGATGTGGGAACCTATTTGGACGATGGAGTGTTGGGAATGTCAGCTGATGATGATTATCGAGTCAACATTGATGAATGAAGTTGGTCTGATGGCGATACGGAAACTGATCATGTACTAGAGCCGGTGCAAGGGGAAGGCTCAGTACATAAGAAGCGTGGCCGGAAATCAAAAAAGGAAAATGCGCAGCTGCTTTATGGCTTTATGCCAAGGCGGTCCTCGAGGCTGCAATAAAATACTACGTTTCTCTGATCCTTTGTCTCCATGTTAAGTCAAATAATTTGGAATATTAGAGGAATAAGTAATCAAGCATCGCAGCGACGGTTGCGAGCGTTGATACAAAGAAATTGGGTTTCTTTTTTAATAATTCTGGAGCCTATGTTGGATTCGGGGCAGATTGATAGCATAAGAAGAGAGTTGGATTTTGACATAGCTTTTTCTTCCAATTCCAGCAAAATTTGGGTATTCACTCGGCGGGAATTTACCATATCTATGCTAGCTGATGATGATCAAGTCTTGCACTTCACAGTTTCTCATGTCAACATTGCTAAAAGGTTCTACCTCTCTGTAGTATATGAAAAGTCAACTAGGCTGGCGTGACAACCGTTGTGGAGGAGTTTGATGGAGTTTCAGCAGCGGTATGCTAATTCTCCATGGATGGTAGCTAGGGATTTCAACGTTATTCGTTCATTGGAGGAATATTTAGGAGTCTCAGTTCAGGATCATGCGGCCATGTTGGATTTTAATGACTGTATTTTGAATGTGATTTACTTGAACTCCCAACAATTGGAGAAGAGTTTACTTGGGGTGGGAATAGGGCTACTGGCTGGGTGAGCAAAAAACTTGACAGAGTTTTGATCTCCAAAGAATGGCATGATTACTTTCCTAGCTCCTCTGTTGAGAATTTGAATAGGACCACATCTGACCATAGTCCTTTGTTGCATTTATTTGCTGCGCAAGGAGATAGCAAGCCAAGGGTCTTTAGGTTTCAGAAAATGTGGTTGCGCCGGGAAGGGTTTAAGGAGCTGGTTCAAGATTGTTGGGACCAACCAATTGAGCAAAGGGGAATGCTACGTTTTTCTATGAAACTCAGATGCCTGAAATTAAAACTAAAAGAGTGGAATAAAGAGGTGTTTGGAGATGTTTTTGAGAATGTAAAAGTGGCGGAGGAGACTGGGCATTAACTTGAAAATGCATATGATTTATCTAGATCGGAGCAGAATCAAGTTGTTCTTCATGAAGCTAAAGCTAATTTGCTGTTGAGGCTTAAAGAGCACGAAGATTTTTGGATGCAAAAGATGAAATTGAGGTGGCTAAAAGAAGGGGATGCTAATACGGCTTTTTTTCACGCCACTTTGAAGGAAAGGAGAATCAAACAAAGCATCTTCAAAATCCAGTCAGAGGAGGGCCGAATGCTTACCTCTAGTGCTGAGATTGATCAAGAAGCTGTGAGGTTTTTCCAAAAGCTTTTGACTGATGATGCGGATGATGGCGGGGGGGGGTATGCAAGCTTTATTTCTGGATCATATTCCATCGATCTTAACTCAGGAAGATGAAGAGTGGTTGATGCGTCAAATTACTATTGAGGAGATTAAGAAAGCTATCTTTAATTTGAGTGAAGACAGTGCCCCGGGGATTGAAGGATTTGGAGGGTCTTTCTATAGATCATGTTGGGACATTGTTGCAAATGATCTCTATTCTGCTTGCCAGGAGTTTATGATTGGGATCCCTATCCCTCGAACTATTTCCAGTACACTTATCGCACTCATTCCGAAGAAAGCTGTGGTTAATACTTTTTCAGATTATAGGCCTGTTAGCTTGTGCAATTTTCTGAATAAAGTCTTCACCAAGGTGCTTACTAAAAGGTTGAAAAAGGTTTTGCCATAGATAATATCGGAGGAGCAGTCGGCCTTTTTGGTGGGGAGAGACATATTTGATAATGTGCTACTTGCGCAAGACCTATGTCAATTCCTTAATCAAAGGTATGAAGGGAGGAATTTTGTTTTGAAACTAGACATGATGAAAGCATTTGATAGGGTGAAATGGAGCTTCTTGGAGAGGGTTTTACTTAAGTTTGGATTTTCGATTGCTTTTGTTACTTTGATCATGAATAATTTGCGCAATAGTTGGTTCTCAATTATGATCAACGGAGGTCCGGTTGGTTTTTTTTAGTCTTCCCGTGGAATTAAACAAGGAGACCCCTTATCTCTGTATTTGTTTATTCTAGTTTGGGAAGCAATGACAAGAAGGCTAAAAAATTTGGTGGAATCTACAAGTGTTGCGGCATATGGTGTTCCTTCTAGTTCAATGATTGTTTTGTACCTTGCTTTTGCGAATGATCTCATAATTTCTCCTCGGGGTTTGAAGCGATCATTGCAAAATCTTAATGGATTCTTCCATGCTTATGAATGCGCCTCTGGCCAGTGAATCAACCGACAAAAAAGTGCATTTTATGTTGCCGATAATTGTCTGGTGAGGAGGGTACAAATTATTCAGCATGAGCTAGGGATTCAAAAAGGGAGCCTTCCATTTGTTTACCTTGGATGTCGGCTTTTTAAAGGAAGGTGCAGGGCTGCAATTTATCAATTTCTTTTGGACAACATGAATAGCAAGCTATTGAGTTGGTGGAACAAGCTCCTTAGCCAAGGTGGCCGGCTCATTTTAATTAAACATGTTTTGGCTTCTATGCCTATACATGTTTTTTCCGCCATACCACCACCAAAATCAGTCATACAGGAGATGGAAAACATGTGTCAAAGATTTTTATGGAGGGAGCCTAGTGATGAAAAGAGGAGACATTGGAGAGCTTGGGAGAGATTAACCTTTCCAGTCATGGAGAATGGGCTGGGTTTACGGAGCATGCAGGATACTATTGATGCTCTAACTATTAAACTATGGTGGAAATGGAAAAAGCAAAGTGGTATTTGGAGTTGATTCTTAAGCTCCTTATCACTCTCGGCGAAAGGAAAGACCTCATGGAAGCGAGTCATGAAGGTAGAGCAGCGAGTAATACATCATACAAAAGTCATAGTGCGGAACGGGAATAGTTTCTTTTGGCTTGACAATTGGTCGCCCATTGGAGTGCTTAAACGGGAGTATCATGAAAACCTTCCTCATCCACATATCACCATCAAGGAGTTTTTTCTAAACAGGCCTCAGAGTTTGCATATGGTTTGAGATATCCTTCCTGGGTAAGTTAATACTTTTCTTCCTGATTTTTGTCATGTTTTTCAGGATGATGCAGATTTGATTTTTTGGCAATGTACCTCTAGTGGAGTTTTTTCAGTTAAAATAGCTTACGAGGTAACAAGGCGGAAGCTTGAGCAGGAAAGTTGGATGAAGAATGTTTGGAACTCAATCACCCCAGTGAAGATATCTCTTTTTGTATGGAGATTTCGGAATCGATTATTGGCATTCCCAGAAGTTTTGGCAAAAATTGGTATCAATATCTCACTGTCTATTTGTCAACTTTGCTTTAGTTATGGTGATGAGATTGAGCATTGTTTTATTCAATGCTCATTGAGTCGGAGAATATGGTTACATTTTGCTGCGATGATTGAGCTCAATGTGTTGGGGTGTTTCTCTTTTGATTCGATGCTTGGTAAATGGTGGATGAGGGTGACGTTAAGACAGCCTCGGGTGCTATCCGCAAGCTTCTCTCTTTGATTATTCTTTGGGAAATTTAGAAGGCGCGCAACAAGGCAATTTACGATGGAGTTAGAGCTAATTTTCAGTCCATTGTTTGCGCTATCATGGATCAAGTTCGCTCTATTTTGCTTGTCCATAATCTGAAGGTTCGCGATGAGGTGGAAAAGGAATTTTTCAGGCTGGTTTTTGGAGTAAAACTTAGTCAAATAGTTCGACCTAGGGTTTGGAAAGTAGCTTGGATACCTCCGACAGCAAATTCTTATGTTCTGAATATGAATGGCTCGTCTGGTGTTAATAATGCTGGTTATGGTTTCGTAATCAGGGGGGAAGGCGGTATTTTCTTGTATGGAGAAGGCAGTTATTTGGGAGAAGGAGATAGCCTTAAAGCTGAAATTTTGGGGCATTGTTTGGTCTAAGGAAATGTCATTTCCTGGGACTTGCAAATGTGACCCGTCAAATAGACAACAAAGTTTTAGCTGATATTTTGAAGTCGGGGAAAGGGCTCTTGTGGAGGTACTATTCTATTTTGCAGGAAATGATTTTCATCATTCAGAAGAATAATTTTCAAATTTTTGCATATCAACAGGGAGGCTAATTCCGTTGCGGATAGATTGGCGAAGTATGCATCTAATGGTTCCTCCAATATGTATTCTAGTTTAGAGTCTTTACCACAGGTTGTAAAAAGATTATTGATGCTAGATCAGTCATCCTTTCTTTATATTAGAACTCTCTTTGCTTGATGTATAGTAGGTAAGCTTTATGCACTGCCTGACTTTTTTTTTGGGAGGAATTTTGATAAAATACAGGTAGGGATGAAGCTAGGGAACTATATAGTATATGTGTCCATCCATGGGTAGACCCCCCTTGGGTGCATTACGCTATATGGCACTGGCTAGTTCATAAATTTACCTCTTGGATAGACCCCTTGAGTTTTTATGAATTAGTTGGGACCTGAATGTCATTCTAACCTTTCTTTTGGAAAAAAAAAAAAGTTTGTGTAATACAAAAGCATAAACATTTTTCTCTCACATTTTCACAAGGTAAAGAGAAATTCCTTACAAGATATACACAACTTGTAAATCGAGGATTTTCTTGTGTAGTTTTTCGGTTTATATTTTTTGGTTTTTTTACAAAATGTAATTGTATGTAAATCCCAAACGAGTACTACCATATTCATACTTGTAGTAATTTTTTATTTTTTAAAAATAAAATGTTTAAGCCTAGAGAAGGGGGCAAGGAAACGGGCATACCGCCCAAGAAACCAGCTGGAACTAGCCCAGAAAATTCATAGGTACCAGAACTTTGGATGTGCCCGTGGGACTTTAAAAATAAAATGTGATTGTACAGTATGTAAATCCGAAAGTACTACTACCATATTCATATTTGTAGTAACTTTTCCTCCTTTTTTTCAAGTGTTAATTTTTTTTTCCCGTGTCTTTTTTCCTCGTAAACAGCCCGCTCATCACGAAAATCCACTGAGCCCAGCCCAAATACAGCTATTTTTTTTTCCCTCCAAAGTGAGTTTTCATTTTCCCCTCCTCTTTCATTTCCTTTTCTTTTTTCTTTTTATTTTTCTTTTCCTCTTTCTATTTTCAGTCCTTTTCATTTCCTAGTACACTTGAAAACCTTTTGAGCTACCATCACAGAGAAAGGTACTTTTGGAACCTTAGGAGGCTGGAGAAATGGCTAACAGAAGAAGTTTTCGTCTCAGAAGAAATGGAGATGAAAACAAAGAGGAATCTGGGACTATGGTGGGTGGTAGAGGGGGAAAAAGGCAGAAGAACGGGTCATCATCAGAAGAAGAAGCAGGGTTTGGTGGAGACTATGAAGAGAAAAGGGCCCAAAGGATGAAGGAGAATATGGAAAGATTGAAGGAACTGGGAATTTCGGACCTTTCCAAACAACTCAAACCAGAGAAAGTTCCTCTTCCAAAGAAAAGGGCTGCTCCTTTATCTAAGTTTCTTGATCTTAATGATCCTCCTAGGCGTTCTTCGAGGTAAAGCTTCGATTTTTAGGCTCCCCCACCCCTCCAATAGTCTTGTTCCGCCATGAATTATGATTAGAAAAGACCCCCATTCATTTTCCCCTTGTTCTTAAGATTTCCCATTTTTGCACAGCATGGGGGTTTTGTTGAATTTTAATGAATTCTTGTTTCTGATTATTGCTTTTGTTTCTTGTGGGTGAAAATTCCTGTTGTATTTGACTGTGTATGGTAATCCTTTCGCATTCGACTTGGCCCTGTTGATTTTTTAAAATTTCGAAGGGGCCCGGGTAATTGATCTTGTGTGATTTTGCTGAAATTACGCAGAAAGGAGTAGAGGATTCTACAATCTCCCCTATTTTTTCTGTACTTCTAAAGTCCATGGATTTCTTTTTCTTTCGAACAGAGAAGGATCAATCTTTGCCCTCTTGTTTTCACTCAGGAAAATTGATGGAGATTGTACTCGCAAATATGTTTTTATATAAATGTACTGATTTTACTTTGCTGAAATGCAAGAAGTGAATTAGAAGTGAACTGAGTGTTAGGATTTATGTCGGATATTTGGAGGTTAATATCATTTCAAATGCCTTTTATTTGTTGGTTCTTATTTGTGTTCAGCAATTTAGTTCCGAGTCTTGTGAATTCTTTGGGATGGTGGTCATTTCAATATCTACATTTGTTCAGGTTGATGATCAAAGATCCCATTAATTACTCCGAGAGAAAGCCTCCTAAGGAGGAGAATGTGAAGAAGAACGTGGTGATATCTATAAAAGAGGGAGCAAAGCCTGAAGTTTACACAGAAGAGCATGACAAGCTCTTGGGTGATTGTAAAACTGATTGGACTTTAGGTGTTGATGGCTATGATGGAGAGGGCGGACGCATATATGATCCATATCTGGGCAAGAGTTGTCACCAATGCAGGTATTAAATGTGACTGTTTTGTTCTTCTCTAACAATTTATTAACTTTTATCTTTGTGTAAATGCATAAGCATTAGTTTTTTGGTCTTGCAGATATCCATAACCATGTATTATTACACAAGTCTACCTATAACCGAGTAGCTGAAATTCTCGAGATTATCTTAGTTGTCAAACTTAGTGTTTTCAGCTTTTTTTCCGTTTGATGCTAGAAAGGTTGATGATTAAGACTATCAATATAAAAGTGACAGCTTGTTCAGGGGAAAGGTTTTTATGAGTTGAATAGAATTTTTTTGTGTTTTAACTTCTTCTAACTATTTCCAGACTTAGAATTGTATACAGTTTATAATGGTTATTTTTTGTCTTATTTCAAATGCTTCTGCATCTGCTCATTTCATCAAGCTCACATGGATAGTCATATTTCTGCAGACAGAAAACTCTAGGTCATCGCACCCGATGCAGCAACTGCAATTTGGTTTCAGGACAGTTTTGTGGAGAATGCTTGTACACAAGGTGGTAAATTAAACAACTGTCTCCCTTTCCCTGTTCTCCACTAAATAGGTTAATTCTCTTCTCACTAAGCAAGAAGTAAAAATGATGCTCAGTTTTACATCTGCAAGTCTTCCCTTCTGCATGGTGAAGCTGTTCCTGACAGCTGCTGCAATGCTAATTCTTTTACATGTGGTGTTATACTTTCATTCACACACTCAAGTTAGCTGCAATAAAGGGTGTCGAACGAAATGATTACATCTGTTAAGAGTTGCATTTGCTTGTGATTCCTCAGGCAGGTTTTAGTGCCATTTCTTCAATCCATGTTAAAGAATAGAGCAAACATAGGAAGAAAAAAAGAGAGAAAAGGATTGAATCTTTCTGATCTAGGTCTTAGGCTGCCTAGATCATTGTATTTTGAAAGACAATGTGAGCTAATTATTCCCATGGATCTATGATCATTGAGAAGTAAATTCAACATCCATCAAGAAGTAATTTTCATATCTATCCAAACCTTTGAATGTGGTAGGCTATACATTTCTGAAGAATGGGCCAAAGTAGTTATCCATCTTATGGCAACTCCCATCTCTTACTTTGTTACTATGCAGATATGGGGAGAATGTTATCGAAGTAAGTGAGAATCCTGAATGGATCTGTCCTGTTTGCCGAGGAATATGTAATTGTAGTCGCTGCAGGAGGAAGAAAGGATGGGAACCTACTGGATTAATCTATGAAAAGGTTCACCAGCTTAGCTACTTACTATTGTTGCCTTATTCGATATTTTGATGGACTGTCATCTGGCCAGCTGATATTCTAAACCCTACAGATTGTGATCTAACTTCCCATTTTCTCAATCTTCAGGTGAAGAGTCTTGGTTTCAAGTCTGTGGCACATTATCTTATTCAGACCTTTCGATCTGGACCAAAAACTGAGGAGCCAATCAACAAAAGCGCAGATCATGTAAGTGTTTCATTGTCCCATGCAGATGAAGAAGATGATCCTGTGCATAGCAGTTCCAGTGTCTCTTCGTGAATTGGGAGAACAGTCGAAGGCATCTTCACGGCGACTGCAAAACAGTTGGATAGTACTAACAAATATAATGCAGTAGTAGTGGTGGGGGTTTATGGTGAATGAAGTGACTTTTGAGGATATGCTTTAGGAGCAATGAATGTTGCATGAAAGGGAAATGGTTAATATTATAGATTTTTGTAAAAGCCATTTATTTTGCTGACCAACTAGCTTCAGGTGAGTTACTCAAAACATGCGATGTGGACTATATTTGGCTTTTAAGTTACTTTATCGTACCGTCTCAGATGACCAACATTATTATTATTTAATGTGCTCTAAGCATGAATTAGGACCAAAATTCCTTGGAAGTTCTTCCAGTATGCGAAATGCAAGTTATATCCAAAAATAAAATAATTGTTGATCCATCCACTTCTGCAATTGGTTGTTTATTATTATTATTATTATTTTTTTCTTGGAAAAAAAAAAAACAGACATAAGACAAGGAATCCAATGTTTTACTATGAGTTTGAATGGAAAAATTGGCGTTCATACCCAAAGTTTTGGGTCTATCGGCAATTCTACCTTATTGATTTTCGGTTAGTCAATTTTGTCCTTATTGTTTAAAATTTTTGTCAATTTCGCCTAATTGGCTCAATTTCCGTTAAACTTAACGGATTTCCGTTAGTTTTTAACCAAAAACATCCCGATAGTTTCAGAAAAATTATAAAAATAACTCTAAAAATATATAAAAATAACAAAATATTCCATTTTTATTCATTTTTCCCTATTTTATTTTATTTCTCTTTGTTACTTTCATAACAATCAAAATATAATATATGATCTTTAAGAAAATAATAATTTATTTTCAAATTTTATTTTTCATGTGCAACACATGTTATTTGGATTGAGAGTAATTTTATCATTTTAAATTTTTAAAATTTTAATTTCTTTTCTTTTATTCGTCTTTTTTTTTAGATTATTTTTTTTAATATTTCCCGACTTGTATATATTGGTACTAGAATAATTATTAAATTTTAATAATTAATTCACCGTTTCATTTCATAGATTATAAAAGCTTTAACATAAAGAAAATAAGGAAGAAAAATTTAAGTTGAAATAAACCTGAAAATAATAGTTCCTCTTTAGAAAAAAACAAAAAAACCTTAAAAAAAACTGCAAAAAAAAAGTCTTTTCTCCTTAACTTTCTCTATTTCATAGGCAAGTCATGAAACATAAATTTTACTTGATCTAGCCTAAAATGATTATTTTGTTCTTTGTAATAAAAATAATACAAGTCATGTAGTATAATTTAATAATTATTTTGCTAAAAAATACATGTATTTATCTTTTTCATGAAATTATAATTGCTTATGTAGTTTAACAACCACCAATCGGCCAAAAATAAAATTTTATTAAAAAAGAATAAAAATAATGTTAACTAAATTTACAGAAATGCATCGTTGTAGACTACGTAAGTTAGTACCTTTTCATGTTTCAAATGATTGCCTAATTTTTATATTATTTTTATTACAACGAACTAAATAATTATTTTAGGCTAGATCAAGTAAAATTTATATTTCGTAACTCACCTATAAATTAGAGGAAGTCAAGGAGGAAAGACTTCTGTTTGCAGATTTTTTTTTAAAGATTTTTTTGATCTTTGTTTAGAATGATAAACTATTAATATTCATGTTTATTTCAACTTGATTTTTTTTTCCTCATTTTCTTTATGTTAATTTTTTTATGATCTATGAATTAAAAGGTAAATTAATTATTAAAATTTAATAATTATACTAGTATCAATATATACAAGTCAGGAAATATAAGAAAAATAATCTTAAAAAAATCTAAAAAAATAAAAATAAAATTTTTTAAAAATTTAGAATGAAAAAATTACCCCTCAACTCAAATCACATGTGTTGTAAATGAAAAATAGATTTTGAAAATAAATAATTATTTTTTTAAAGATCATATAGTATATTCTGATATATGAAAAGTAATAAAGACAAATAAAATGAAATAGAAAAAAAATGAATAAAAGGGACTATTTTGTCATTATTATATTTTTTTAGGGTTATTTTTATAATTTATTAAAACTATCAGGATATTTTTGGTTAAAAACTAACGAAAATCCGTTAAGTTTAAAGGAAATTAAGTTAATTGGGTAGAATTGACAAAAATTTTAAACAGTAAGGACAAAATTAGCTAACCAGAAATCAATAAAGTAGAATTGACGATGAGCCCAAAGTTTTGGGTATGAACATCAATTTTTCCAAATTTGAATAGCAGTTCTTTTTTTTTTTTTTTTTTTTTTGAATAAGAGCGAAATTTCATTAATTTGCTGGGAAAGCGCCCAACACACAATGAGGTACAAACTCGGGAATGTTATCCCAAAATTTTTCAAAGTCTTTTTTAGACTTTGCAAATTGTGCTAAACAATGGGGAACCACATTAAATTTACGGCTAATCCACTTGCAGTCAAATTGGACATGATCTTGAAAATGACCTTTAATGTCCGCCAGTATTAAACCCCAGTCAGACAGGTCAGTTTCATCGGATTGTAATCGATTTATAATCACTGACGAGTCTCCGGCCAGAGTGAGTTGCTGGATTCCTGTTGCAGCTGCTAACCTGATAGACTCCCGTGCGGCTAAGCTTTCGATTACACATGGGGTGAACAACCCTTCATATGATTTAGCATAGTATCCGACTAATCCTGATGAAGAGTTCCAAATTAGGATACCAATCGCGGAAGTATTCAGGTCTCGGTTTGTGGCTCCATCAAAGAATATGGTAGTTCCATTCATGAAATCCAGGGAGCTTGCTGGCGTATTTGTCGTCGGTGGAGTTAGGAAGTGATGTAGCTGTGCTTCTTTCTATGATTCTAGCAGGGAGATGCCCATATTGAGGATTGATTTAGACTGGAGCGTGTGATTCTCAAAAACCAGAGTGTTTCTTGCAGACCAAATGCTATAGCAGATGGATGCAAACAAGGGCAGTTTCCTTGATGGAAGAGATTCAATTAAAGTGACTAAGAAAGACCTGGTGTCTGTAACAATAGGGTAGCTTATCTGTCCGCTTAAATCGCTGCTAGACCAGACTTCTTTTGAGGTTTTGCAAGTGAAGAAAACATGTTTCAGGTCTTCCTGTATAGTGCACCCTTTGCATCGTCCGTTGGTATCAATCCTCCTTTTAATCAGCATCTGCTGTGTTGTCAAGGAGTCAGTTACCATACACCATAAATGATGTTTTACTCTCGGAGCTATATTTATGTTCCACAGCTTCCTCCACGTTGAATTATCTCCATTTGTGTTCGACGAACCTGCAATCGAGCTGCTTTGGAATCCAGGATGGGACTGCAAAACTCTGTAGCAAGAAGACACTGTGAATTTGTCATGTGAGGTATAACATCTCCAAAAATCCTTTGTAGTAGATGAGCTCAAAGGAATATTTATGATCATGGTTATTTCATCAGGCCAGAATAGATGTTTTAACAGTCTAAGATTCCATTCTCTTGAGTTGTTGTCAATCAGTGAGCTCATCGTCGGCTTGCCTGCGAAAGGACTTTGCGGGCTCGAGAATTTCTAATCAGTGTCCTTACAGATTGTAGTATCCATTTTATTAAAGATAGTTAAATTAAAATGAAATTCTAATTAGGATATCAATTATAATCTACTAAATTTAGAAGAGCCCTGCACTTGTCTAGCATTAATTGAAAGTGGATACCTCACTTTATAAAGTTCAAAACAATGTAGTCATTACTTCCCAATAAAAAAATTAAGTCATTAGGGGGCAATAGTTAAATATAAAATCAATATTAAAATTCTTGTTTATTTATTTCGTTAATTCTATATCAATCATTTTCGTATAACTTTTCTTTCTCAAAAATGGTACAGATACAAAATTGTATTGATATGAAATATCATTTTTTTTTTCAGTATTACCCTTTTCTCAGTATAAAGAACGTGAAAATTTGGCGATGAAATGTAGATGATTGTAGACCTTAAAGCATGTATATTCCTTGCAAAATTACTCAAACTGTTTTTAAAAATTCATTAACATTATAAAATTATTTTTAACAAAATAGATTTTTTTTTCCCAAACAAATAGAGTATTTATCATCTACTTCCACTTTGTGATTGAAAAAAGTCAATTATTAAATTACTTTTCTGTGAAAGAGCAAGTAACATTCGAAAATTTAAACTACAATATTGTTCTGCTTTTGAACTACTGTTATACTAATTTAATACAGTGGTATCATTCCATTTAACAGGAAATATACCCCTCTAAGAAAAGGTCCAAATTAGTGAGAGAAAAAATATGTCTTCAAAATGGACAATTATTTTAGTAAAAAGATAATAATTACTCCGATCTTTAATAGAAGACACAATTAAATAATTTTCAATAATTAAAAAAATAGTTAAATATTTTTTAGTGAACTACCTACATTACCTTTGTTCAAAATATCCTTACATAAAAAAAAAAATCCCTACATTTCTATAAACTAATCAAATTAAACTTAACCGTTTATGGTTGAGTAAAGTAAGAAGTACACTATAAATGAATCCTTAACATCAAATGTTTTATAAATAAGACTATGGGAAATCTTTTTTTTCAAAAAAACTTAAAATAACAACATGAGGGGGTACTTCATTTATCCAAAAAAAAAAATAATCCATTTTATTTTCCAATAGTATTTTTATTCAAATAGAACAAATTATTTTCTTGGAGTAGAGGGGGAAAAAAATCACAATTTTTGTTTGGCTGGGAGAAATTACAAACGTTATTAATTGTGCCAGCCGGGGATATTAATGAGGGTTTCACTCAATAAGTTAAGTGTAGCTTTCATAAATTAAAGGCCAAAATGAAAGCACCAAAGAACATAAAGACAAACAATGCTTTTTTTTTTTTTTTTATTCAAAGACAACAATGCTTATTGCTATAAAACCCATCTCCGATTAATCCGGCTGTGGGTATGGCCGACTCTTCCCACGTTAATTTATTTTCTAATTCAACTGTTTTCCCTCTCAAAATTATTTTCGTTATTTATTCTACCGAAATTATAATAAATTAAAAAAATTGAAATAAAAGATATATACGTTATTATCTTAAGTTACTTTTGATTTCTAAAGTGTTGGGCCCAGTTCCCCTCAATTGGGCCCAACACAACTTGAACTAAAAAACCATTTATACTTTGATTTTGGGTTTTGACCGAGAGAAACAAAATCACTTGGGTTTTGGTTTTAGTTTTTTGCTCTATAAAAGTAAGGTTTTGACATAATTTTTAGGTGTGTTTTCCAGCCAAGAAGAGAAGAAAAGTTTGGACAGCCGTGCATTGTTTTTGTACGAGAGAAAAAAGACAGAAAACTAGGGTTTAGTTTTCGGTTTAACTCTCTTTTGGTTAGATCCTTCCAGTCCTACTCTGTGATAGGTGTTTTAGAAGAGTATTGTTGTAATCCATCTTTGAGTGAAGTCCTGTATATCCACCGGTTAGTGAAGACTACAGCTGATCACTGTGTGTTATCCTTTGCGATGAAAGATTTGGGTCTGGCTAGACAGATCCTTGGGATGAAGATTTCTCATGACAGACAGAATGGGAAGCTTTGGGTATCTCAAGAGAAGTATATCGAGAAGGTTCTTGATAGATTTAACATGAGCAGTGCTAAGGAAGTCTCGACTCCACTTGCACGGCATTTTAAGCTAAGCAAAACGCAGTATCCTGAAAGTGAGAAAGATAAGGAAGAGATGAAAAAGGTTCCTTATGCTTCGGCAGTTGGCAGCCTGATGTATGCGATGGTTTGCACAAGGCCAGACATAGCTCATGCAATTGGTGTTGTTAGTCAGTTTCTCTCCAATCCTGGAAAGGAGCATTGGAATGCTGTGAAATGGATTCTCAGGTATCTTAGGGGTACTTCCAGATTGAGTCTTTGCTTTAGCAATGGGAAGACCATGTTGGATGAATATACAGATGCTGACATGGCGGGTGACCTTGATGGTCGGAAGTCTACTTCTGGTTATTTAGTTGATGACTTATGGAGGGGGAGCAGTTTCATGGCAAAGTAGGTTGCAGAAATGTGTTGCTTTGTCTACTACAGAGGCAGAGTTTATCGCAGCTACTGAATCTTGTAAGGAAGCACTTTGGTTTCTGAAGTTTCTACAAGAGCTTAGCATGAAGCAAGAGAGGTATGTGATAGCCAGAGCGCTATTCACTTAGCTAAGAATTCCACATTTCATTCGCGGTCAAAACATATTGATGTTAGGTATCATTGGATTCGGGATGTACTAGAGTCCAAGGCGTTGTTTCTTGAGAAGATCCATACGGATGACAACGGTGCTGATATGTTGACGAAGACTGTGAGTAGAGACAAGCTCCTGTTTTGCAGACAGGAAGCGGGTTTGGTTTTACCCCCCAATTAAGGTGAAGGGGGAGATTGTTGGGCCCGGTTCCCCTCAATTGGGCCCAATACAACTTGAACCAAAAAACCATTTATACTTTGGTTTTGGGTTTTGACCGAGAGAAACAAAACCACTTGGGTTTTGGTTTTGGTTTTTTGCTCTATAAAAGCAAGACTTTTGGCATAATTTTTAGGTGTATTTTCCAGCCAAGAAGAGAAGAAAAGTTTGGACAGTCGTGCATTGTTTTTGTACGAGAGAAAAAGAAAGAAAGCTAGGGTTTAGTTTCGGTTTAACTCTCTTTTGGTTAGATCCTTCCAGTCCTACTCTGTAATAGGTGTTTTGGAAGAGTATTGTTGTAATCTATCTTTGAGTGAAGTCCTGTATATCCACCGGTTAGTGAAGACTGTTTTTCTATTATTGTGATAGTGGAGCTTTGACTGTTGTTACAGTCCCGTGGTTTTTCCCGATGTGGGTTTTCACGTAAATTCGTGTGCCTCCTTTACTTTATCAGTTCTTGAATTAGTTGCTTGTTTGGTTGATTGTCCTATTTTATTGGTAGTAGGAAAATAGATTTTCTTGAGGTTCGCTTCTGTGGTTTGTTGTGTTTATACACTTTCCGCCACAACATAAAGTTTTTCCGTACAAAAACTTTGAAATTCTTAGTTCTAACATACCCTACGACGTACACAATAAAGTTTTTCGTTCGACTCTTATAAATATCTTTCATAATGAAAAGATTACACACATACCTGATTTCGATACATTCTAGCAAATAATATGTTTCTTATTACTTGACGCCTTTACCCATTAATTTATGGAAAAACAGATTTGAATTTGGAATTTACTTTGCTTTCTCTTTTTCCCCCCTTTCAAAAGCAACTTTGAATTCACTTTGACAACGAACAAATTTTTCATTTCTGTAGGGCCAGAAATATCCACCCAACTTTCCATGATCACTTTGTACCACGTCTTCAAAGTTGGACTTAAGAGTTTGAAAAAAAAGCCACTACTTTCGAGTTTCAACAGAATAGAATTAAAAGGTCTCATCAGAAATGTAACCGTTTGAACACATTATTTCATGTTTCCAAAATTGAAAAAATATATAGCTATAACAAATATTACATCCGTTTCATATTAATAATCTATTTCATTCATAAAAAATAATTCAAGAATATTGAATATTATTATATAAGTTAATGAAATGGAGGACACACAAATTCTAGTTGGTAATTGGTCCTATATAATTATCTCACCTCGAGGACAGAATTATAATTTGGAAATGATGCAAGGAAATAGTATAAAATATCTTTCTAAAATTTTTATTTTAATGGATAGCCCCGCCTTAATGCCCAAAAATCATAATAAATTAGCATTCTCTTTGTTCTAAAATGATTGTTTAGTTAGGATTTTCATTTTAATACAATCATTTAGCCACAAATATAGTATTCTTTTATTTATTTATTTTTGGGTAATAAAGACTTTAAAAAGGAGGCTGCGAAAATGTGACTTGTGTTATACCCTCTCACCCTACTCTATATATATGTATGATGATTGATTAGCAAGCTCCAATTTTCTCATACCTCATAACTTGTTACTATAAGCTCTTCTTTCATACACATACTAAGAGAAGGGATGCTTAGAGAAGACTTCACCTTCCCAATAATCACCACCACCTCCACCACCAACAACAAAGTTACATATTTGGCAGAAGTGGCACCATCTCTGTGGAGAATTTCATCTCTTGAAGTTCATCCAAACTCATATCATCTTCAAGTTGAGGTCATCAATGGAAGAAAAGGGTTCTCCACCGCAAGATTTTCTGAAATGGCTGTGGATGCAAATTATCAAGAGGACAAGATGGACATGCTGTGGGAAGACTTCAATGATGATGAGATGGAGGAGGCATTGACAAGTAATGTCTCTTTGAATTTAGAGACTCATAATAATCATCATCAAGAATGTTGCAATGAAGAGGATCATGCAAGAGAGATTCTTTATCAACCAGATTTGAAGATGTCGAATGAGCAGACTAGGACCACTTGTAGTAGTAATGCTCTTATGGTTTCACAAAAGAGGAATAAAATGATTTTGCTCTTTAAGGTTTTGATGAAGAAGCTCTTGTTGCTACACAACATGGGAAGCTTCAAAAAACATAGATCTTGAATCTGGCATGACACCACCTTGTAAGCCTTCTTCTTCTTTTTATCTTCGCCCTTTTTTGTACCTTGGGAATTTTTGAGTGGTGAAATCTGGAGGCTTTTTTCTTTTTCTTTCTTTTTTTTTTTTTTTGTGTAATCTCCCCACACAGTCAAAAGGATGTGAGTCTTACAATTACATGAAATAATTACAATGTTTATGGTACCGCCCTCTATCCCAATATAGCTAATTTTGACAGCTAAACTTTCAAATTGAATTTACGGGGATTTGTGTCATCCAAAAATTATGATAAAATTAACAAATTAATGTTATTTATATTCCACCTGTTTCCTAGCATGAGTTGTTCAATTACCAAGATTCGTGCTTTAGAATTTGACAGTTGAAAAAGGGACAGATGAAATAGAAAATTATCTTAAAAAAAACAAGTTCGAATTGGCGAATGGCAGAATGCTGCGCGCTTAAGGAACAATCTCCATTTTGGTCCATTATTGATCCTTTCTAATCTGTAACTTAGTATGGGGTATTGGAAAGAGGAATCTATGATTATAATGTTTTTGAATTCAAAAATTTTCTAAAAAGAGAAAAAGAAAGCAACTTTTGTATTCCATAATGACACGACACACGGCAAAAGTTACAGAAAAGTGAAAGGTAACATAACATTACCAAGTTTTGGTTCATTTTGTATCACTAGTAATGTAACCGAAACCTTAAAAATAAGTTTAGCAAACTAGCAATGACATTTTAAGCCAAATCTGACAAATTATATATCCAGATTGATCCAGCTGGAAACAATGATCATGTTTGCAAGAGTCAAAATCACCCTGTACAAAAATAGGAATGATGCACAATATGTAACTCCGTTTACTTGCACTTTCCTCAGTATGCAGTTTGACTTGCATTTAACACTGGGACAAGGTGACAATCGCTTCTGTTAAATAGCAATTGAACTTGCCCGTCATTGTGCAAGAATCAAGAGCCGTTGCCTATGTCATTGTTTTCAACTTGCCTGTCGGGCTCCTCAAAGTTTGCAGAGGAAAAAGCATTACTGTTGGTATGAGCAAAACTCCAGACAGAAACGCAATTTTCATCATCTATGGCAGAAAAGGATGGTGATGAACATAGGACTGAAGCATAATAGTAGTATTTGTTTTGAAAAAGAAAACTACTAGTCTTTGTTTTGGAAAAAAAAAAAACTACCAATCAACAATTACTTCATAGCTCAACTTTGATTGTCATTTGATTAGGCTTATATACCAGTTCAAAGAATAAATGATACCAAGTGCAATACTCTTTGTTTCCTATTTGTACTTCAGTGTATACACTCAGGCAAGTGGCAACGATCATAAACACAAACTTCAGTATAGTTGTATGTATGTTAACTTATAAATGGTATTTTGAAAATGGATTTATGAGATTTACCTCTAAGGGAGACATCATCATTAGAATCATCAACCTCTCCATATCTTCGATGCCCAGAAGATGAAGCAGCCATCGGGAAAAAGGGATGAAAAGAGAAGCTATTGACAGTGTCTGCAGGAGAAAAATAATTGAACAAAAATTAAAGAAAATTCCAATATAAACCAGAGACCGGAAGGGGGAGGGTTAGGAGGTAAGTGGGGAGGTGCTGAGAACTCAATAGAAGCAAACCTGCCAACATGGGGGCAAAAAAGAGAAAAGTTAACGGAAAGAAATAAACAAATTTTTAGCGGATGGTGGTAGTACCAGATGCCGCTTGAAAACTTGATACCCACTGCCCATTCTGTAAATTATAAACATGAACCAAGCCATCCTAGGAGAGTGATCACAAGAAACACGGTTAATCCACTACAAAAACAAAAGTCACTTCGATAAGCAGTTGTAGAGTTGGAATTATACCTGACCACCAGTAGCAAGATGTTGGCCTATAGGATCAATATCAAAAAATATCCGCTGATTGGTGGTTTCAGTAGATCTATAAAGCCTAATTACAGTGGTAGGGTTAGATACAAAGAAAGTGAGCTTCTTACAAGATGACCGTAGAATAAGTGAAACACTATCAATATTTCTGCATGAGGTTCACATGCATGAATAGAGAGAGACTATGGATGCTACAAAACTAATGTCCTTCCTAGTCCACAAATTCCCCAAAAAAAATTTTGCTCCACAGGCAACTGGAAAATCCATGTCAACTACTCAAGTGTGCATATTGGCACAGACTCCCTTGTCAATAGTGCCTCTTACCCAAGAGGATGGTCTTTTACATGTGTGTCAGTGTCCAACACAGGTAATAAACACAAATACAAAAATACAGCCACAGAAGACGAGTCAATAACAAAACATTAGTTACTCAACAAGTTAAAGGGCAGGAGATAATAAATTATGCACAATTTAAGCTCATGGCTACGCACATAACAAAAACATCAAAACACTCTAATAAGATCAATGTTTCCATATTAAGAAACCATCCAGGCCGCTGCACATTGGAACTAATAAACTCGAACCAACTACTATCAATAAAAAGGCAGGTGACAAATATCCAAACTTAGTTTTCCTAAAGCAAATAAAAGAAAAAGGTGGTACATGCTTCAGCTAACATAAAGAAAGAGAATCACTTATGGTTTCAACTTGTGACCCCCAATTTGAATCTCATTTTTCGGTTTTGATATTATTGGTCCCTCATCTTAAAGATCTCATCACTTTTTGACCCCAATCAAAAATCAAATGCACGAGTTAGCTGTACCTTTAATTTGTTAATTATCCAGGTCAAATGATATTCAAAATAGTTAAAAATAATACTTCATTTAGCAAAGAACTATGTTAGTTTCATTTTACTGACAAATTTGTGCATTTAACTGAGGCTAAAAGGATGAGTGCCAAAGATGAGGAACTGAAAATTAGGGAACCAAGACACATCACTAACAAGGTAAATGCCTGCTAGGGTGATACACACAAAGTACATACAAAATTAGATTGAAAATAGAGCGATACATCAACGAAAACAGTGAACATGTTTGGCAGGAAAAAGAGGAAAAAAAAGAAAATCTCCGAACGAGACAGTCTCTAAAAATGAGGGTTCAAATAATAACTGCACCCAGTTTATACAACCTTTCACCAGCAATGCACAGTAAGAAAAGAAAACATACGGAGAACTTGAGAACTACAGAGCAGAATTTTTGGGATTTTTTAGGAAACAGTAAGACTTACTTGTACACAATTTCCACAGTCTTGCGAATATCCCAGCAGAGGACATAAGGATCCTAGCATGGCAGATAAAATACCAAATTGTTAACTTAACGGTACATATATTTTAAAAGCAATAAAAAATGCCAAACACAAACAGAAATGGGATCAAACTTTCACAATATAGGGAAACTAATATTAGCTAAATATGGAGCTTTCAGTTTTGAGCAGAAATTGCCACACTACCCCCTACAATGCAATAAAGACTCTGCTGTTGTCTTCAGTGAAATGATGAGAACACAAAAAAAAAAAATATTTACAATAGTTACCATACCTTTCGGCCCCCTGTGTACAAGTAATTACCATCTTTTGAGAATTGGACCTGCCAATGAACATTGCACTGTGATCGACCTTAAAATTTTTTACAAAAGTTCTTCTAGTGTAGCATAAAACCAACTTACATGTGTGACCCCACCTTCTTGGCCGTGCAATACATATAACAGTTCCATGTTATCTTCTCTATATATTGCGGTAGTTTGGTCATACGAACCAGTAGCCAGCAACCCTGAATCACTTGGAGAAAAAGCAATGGAGGATATTATACCTGAAATAAAAAGGAAGTAGCTCATGTCAACTTCCCAGGAGCGACAAATCATGGATTCATGCATTTGAAAATGAATATAGATTTCTTGCAAATTGGTAAATCACCCTCTGTAAATCAGAAAGATTGTGCTCAGGAAAAGATGACAAGACAAATGAAGTTTGTTCTTCTGATGGGTAATATCTGATTACAGAATCCAATAAAGTTTTGTTATCACTAAGTTCACACATGTAAAAGCAATAGTTACTGTATTTTCAACACACAATCTGAATACTTCTGGCAGTAGGATCCAATACAATAAGAACTGCTGTCACTCTCGAAAAAAAATAAAAACAGCAAAGTCATTCAATTTAAAGTTTTCCAACTTTTGGAAGAAAAGTCTGATAAGACCTACAGGAAAATGAATTCAACTTGCACATAAACAGAAAAGTCCATGTATGATTGCTGATAGCATATTGAACAAAAGGTACTTTTAGAGAGGAATGATACGTAACAAAGGTCCATAAGGATTCAGATATGAAACTGAAGAAAAGACCGAAAAAAACTCAGACACCAATGAATGAAATAGTCGAGGCTACCAATGGCAAACTAGTCTTAAGTCAAGCGCAAAACGTGGGAAATAGGGCTTCAGGAATTCACAATTTAAGCAAAGAGAAAACTGAATCCATGTACTTCAATTATGCGACTAGTGAAAGAATTTAAGGTGAGTTTGAAATAATGATGCGACTACCTGATTGTCCTTCTTTATTCGCTTGAAGAGTTGAAATTTGTTTGAAATCTCTTCCAGGCCGATGAACATCAAATATTCTAAGAGACTTGTTGTATCCAGCGATTACTCTGAGAAAAAATTTTCAATTACATGACTGAGTACTCAATCATATTGACCGCCATGCTACAATGCCTCAATAACGTAACAAGTTACAATAAAGGAGCATGGCAGGAAAAGGGAAAGAATCAGACACTAATGCATGGGTCAGTAAGCAGTTTAGTCAGATGGATATTAATTTCTCGACAAAAACGCATCAATGCAGCCATCCTTTTTTCAGTATATAGAACTCTAGTGAGCAGGATTAGCTGGCCTTTACTTCTTAGTAATTATGACTTTTCTCATCAGACAATAAACTACAGAAAATACCTCTGACCTTGACTAAGACATTTGATTCAATCTGAGGCTAATATTTAACTGTGCAAAATACTACATCCCTATTACGCTAGATTTAAAACTTCAAACACTGGAGTGGCAGGACATTCTCGATAAGCAGCAGTGTGCAAGCAAAAGCAAACTATGAGCAGAAACATGATAAAGGTGAAAACGCTTTAATCGGTATTGCAACTAAAAATGGGGGAAAAAAATGGATCACTAATTTAAACTATGTGGTGTTGTAAATAAACACTGTTTCACATCTCTCTGCCGAGGTTTAACAAAAATGATTCTTACTTAGTTCCAGCTGGGTTGAAAGAAACTGAGAAAGCAGCAGTGATCTCATCCATGGCATCATATGCACGGTATGTACAACGTAGCTGTGATTTCCAATTAAGATTAATTAGGCAGCATGTCTTCTTCATAATTGAAAAACAAACAAATATAAAATGCCACTACCTAAAGTTAGGTGACCACGCAGAGCCATGAGGTTGGCTCTAGGTATAATGTGAATGAGATGGCTATAAAGTGCTATCAAATTCATTCTTGAAACAGAGGGTATAATTGTACCTGTCCTGTATTAGCATCCCAAAGATGAATTGGATGATCCCGTGTAGTAGTAGCAAATACACATGTATCAGGACCTAAAACAAACACCAAATAATAGTATCAAAGAAACAGTTGTCAAATTATGAACAAGGATTAAAATGGAACATATCAGGCGAGGATATACATACTAGAAATAGACATATATGGGTACCAGCAATAATCATAGACAGATTCTCCTTCGCTAACGACTAGGTTTGCATTGTATGAATCTGCAATCAGTCAATTTTTCAGCGAACGCAGTTGTAGCCCAACAAAGTACTAAAATCAAAATTGTATAATTAATTGGAATATTTTGCCAAAGGATAAGAGAACTTTTACTTAAAGATATTAGGGAAATTGTTAGACGAGGACTGTACTTTATACCATAATCAATGAAAAGAAACATGACATACCAGCACTGGAAGCAGAACAAGAATCAGCATCGGTACCACTTTCATCATATTGCCTAGAATAACCATGAATACAATTGTCAAAACAGACAATCCAATCATTCATTGGACTAACAATGAATCCTTTAACCAGAAGTTGGTTTATATTTTGAAAAAATTCATTGCATAGATGCTTGGTTCATAAAATGGGAGTCAAAACTATCAATGCATCTTTCTGTTATCAATACCTAAAGAATATTGTTACATCGGAATATCATTTTTGACATTTTGACAAAAAGGAAAAAAATCCTACAGTGCCAACTCCTACTCATAATTTCAGTTTCTATCCAAACCAACCAAACACAATCCAAGGAAGTGCCAGAAGATCACTGTGGCTCATCAATGCATCAAATGATTGGGAAAAAAAAAAAGAGCCAGTACATGGAAGAAGCTTACAAAGAAAACAATCGGAGTGTGTTATCGTCTGAACAGGTGAGAAAGCAAGAACCATCCGGGGACCTAGAAAACCACCATCAGTAAAATTAGTACATTCTGCTCCAAAAACTGTCCACATTTTAAATTCTTTTCAGAGAATATATCATACATATTTACAACAATGAGGATCAATATTCGCGCAAAATAATTGAAATCATACAAAACACGAATTAACTACCAGTTTCTCTATAAAAATCTACAACCCCTATGGATTTGCTAACAGGAGGAAAATAAAAAAAGCAACAAGGCACACATTTTTTCAGTTCTTCTCACTTTCACTTTTCCCATAGGACACAAAAGATTTTGGGAGATGGAAAAATGGTCCAATTTACCATTTCACAGCTTTAAGAAAATTGTTAGGGTTTGAAGCAGTGGCTCTGAACTGGTTGAAGAAATGGCATGTCCGGTAAGGAGGTACTCGAAGGTCAATTACTGGCCATGATAAAAGGTCTACCTCCAATGGTGTCTCCGTGACCTCCCCAATTTCGACTTCGCCACTCAGATGCTCGACGGACGGCAACTCCGCTTCAGCCATTGAAACTCAGGCGACCGTAACCGCCGAAAACCAAAAACGAAGCTCCCGAGTTGGAGAAGGTTTAAGACGGGAAAATTACTTAAATGGGGCTGATCTCAAATTTGTGGACACCTAGGGGATGGAAAATCCGGCGACCGTTTTCTGTAACCGCCAAAAATCCAAAACGAATGAGCTCCCGAGTTCGAGAAGGGTTTAAGACATGAAAATTACTTGAATAGTTCTGCCGAAAAATTTTTCTTTAATTTATTTCGAATAGCTATAGGAGAGTTTATTTTCAAAGTCACCACCTATACTACTTGAAGCCATATATTTTAAAATTGAATCATTTTATTCCTATAATTTTTTTAAATTAAATAATTTGACTAGAAAGAAAATAAAAAAAATTGAAAATTTTTTTTTTAAAAAAAGACCGACCGGACGGTCCACCCGTCCCGGGTTAACCGGGGACGGGCAAAGAACGCGTCTTCTCGTTCGCCCGAACGCGTTCATTGCGCGTCCTGGTTCAATGAACGCGTTCGGACGAACAAGAAGACGCGTTTTTTGCACGTCCCTGGTTAATCCGGAACGAGTGGATTACTCTGCAGGTCCCGGTTCGGTCCGATATGGTGAACCGTACCTATCAGGCCATTTTTTTTAAATTTTTCATTTTTTATTTTTTTATAATTTTTTTGTAATTAAAAAATAGCAATATTTGTTATTTAAAAAATTTTAAAAATTAAAAAATATCAATCGGATTCATTGCTATTTTTTTAATTTTTAGATTTTTTGTTGTAATTAGTTAATCTAGTTTTTAGGTCATTAAATTTATTATTAATTTATTATTTGAGTTACATTAAGTATCACCAATGTTTGTAGAACAAAAAATAGTTAATCTATTTGCACATATTTGTCACAATCTTTGCAGTACAATTATATTTTTCATTATAAATGTATGATTATTATTTTAACTAAAAATTATCTTTAAAATAATGATTAAAGTAAAATTTATATTTTAATATCAATTCAAATAAATTAACTTAACAAATAATCTTAAATTTGTTTTCAAGTAAAAATTAATTACTTGTTTATTTTTAAGTAAATATAAAATCGAGAGTTTAAGCACTAAAGTATAAATATTGTTAATAATATTTAAAGTACGAGGTATTCAACATGTAACGATACTGCGAATAAACTAACATTAAAATAAAAATTAATAATTTGTCCGTTCTCACGTGAATCGGACCGAATGACTTGCCCGATTCGATCCGAGTGGCAGAGGCAAAAGGTGAATTCTTCAAAATTGGTGGCTTCAAGTACTAATTTGGGTAGCTGGAAAAATCTAACCCCTATACGTTTTAAAAAAAAAAAAAATCGAATATACAATTTTCGAAACATGGCTCTTTCGAAAACATAGTATTCAACAAAGGATGGAAAAATTGGCAATCACATCCTAAACTTTGCATGTGTCTTCAATCTTACGTTTTATATTTTCTGTCAGTCAATTTTGTATTTTATATTTCAAAGTTACGCCTACCGTGTGTGAAAATAAATAAATATTTCTTTAAAAATTATATAGTGTGTTTTTTATTATATAAAGTAGTGAAGATAAATTGAATAAAATATGAAAAAAAAGTAAAAAGGGATTGTTTTGAAAAATTTTTGAGCTATTAGGGAGTATTGAACTATTAGGGATTTTGTCATTAAATACCTTATTTTACTAATGAAATTCCGTTAAGTTTGAGAGACATTGGACTAATTGAACATAATTGGCCAAAATTTTAAACATAATAAAGGACAAATTAACTAGCTGAAAATCTATATTATAGAATTGACGACACGGTCAAAACTTAAGATAGGATTGCCAATTTTTTCAATAAAGGGTTGTTTCAATTCTTTTTATTTATAAAGCTTTTTTAAATGTTTTTATATTAATCTCAAACATAGTTTTAATTTATAGTATAAGGAAAATAGAAAATGGAATATGAAATTCCGGTTTACTAAAAGAGCCCATTCGGTCCATAGGAAAGGAAAGTATTTGAAGAATATAATTGCTCGGAATTTAATGATAAGGATAATAAAGTAAAATAAAACACTTTCTTTTGTTTGGGTGTTAAAAAGAATGTTGCCAGGAATATAATAGACATTCCCAATATAGTGTTTGGATGGTATATGAATTTTTCAGAATGTAATATCTAACCTATTAATTTGTCAAATTTACCCTTTCTTTATTATGGAAAGAATTTTTTTTTTTTTTCTGTTTTCACCTGTCACCCTCCCTCATATATATTAGTTATTTTCTGCATAAAAACGTCAAAAATTTCAAAAAAAAATTAACAAATTTTATAACATTATTATTCTTTTTATTAAACAAACATGATTATTCAATCATTTCAAAAAAAATAAAAATTCTTAACATAATTATTCAATCATTCAACCATTGTTTCTTAAGTAGAACAAGAAATGAATTTTCTAATGATAAATTCAAATGAAAAAATAAAAACAATTGTAATCAACTTAACTCCTGACTCATTAAACCAGAAGCTCAACCAGAAAAATCTCCTTCTCATCAGCGCCAAGAGTAAAAAAGTAGTCCAACAAATTTGGATCATGAACAAGTTTCATAGCAGCTCGTTATTTCTCTACTACCGTCAGCACATCCACTTTTTGCAGCTCCACATTCTGATTACCTCCTCCGACAAAATTTTCTGCCACTTTAAGCATTTGCTCATCAGATTTTTGCATTTGAGTTGTGAGGGCAATAGTCAAATGCTCTAAACTCAAAATTAAACCATCTGCACTTCTTCTTCTCTTACGTTCTGGATTTTTGGAAGTTCTGTCACCTCCAGGATTGGCTGCCAGTGTATTGGGGTCATCGTCACCGTCAGATTCCTCACCATCTTCTTGATCAACATTTTCCTCTCTAACTATTTCTTCAACCATATCTGCAGGAGCTTCTGCATTATTCCCATTAGCACTATCCTGACCCCATATAATTTCCAATTCATCATAATAAACAAAAGACTTATTTCTCATGAATGTGCATTCAGGATTAGCCTAGTGAAGGAAAAATTTCTGTTAGAATACAACATAAAAAAAATCATGCTTCTTAATTTTAAAGACCATAAAATAAAAATACACAATTAATGCTTACCCGCAAATAGCCATCCCATACATCTGCACTTGCTGTCACACATTTTCTTTGGTCATCCCAACCAAAACCACTTAGTTGTCCATTATTTCGAACTTCATAAATCATATAATACTGTTTCATCATTGTCTTGCAACGGGATTCAATATGTGGCTTCTCTTTCAAACCATGTTCAGGTAGTTTCTCTTGTAACATCCTCTCTAGTTCTTTCTGATATCCCTTTCTTAGCCCATTTCCATTTTCACCATTAAATCTTCCACCTCGCTTTAACTCAAGCATACATTCAATGAGTTTCGCATCCTCTTCAGCAGTCCACACATGGTTGGTACTTTTGCCTCGGCGAGACATATCTATCAATAACAAAAAAAGTAAGAACGAATGTAAAGAAAAATCACTCACAAAAAAAATAAATACTTGAATAAAAATATAAAATTAATGGAGAAATATTGTATAAATCATAAATGTGAAAAATAAAACTTAAAATTACCTTTCTGGCCATGAATAAATCATAATGCATACATAAAAAAAACGTGTTTTGACAATTTATTATTACTAAATGTACTTTAATTTTATAATAACTGGGAAAAAAGGTATTAAGAAATAAGTACGACTTCTAGCGATTATTTCTGTTTTGCCTCCATTGATTAAACATTTGATTGGCTAAATTTTGACTCCAGTTTGTCTATTCTTCTGTTGGTTCAACTGTTGAGATCAAATCACCATCAAATTCAAACTCTTCTTGACCATTAAACTCAAACTCATCACCTTCAAAAGGATTAATCGGCATATTTAACCTTATATGGTTTTGAAGAAGACAACATGCCATGATAATTCTACCTTGAGTCTTAATTGGATAAAAATTTGGGTGTCTAATAATCTCCCAACGCATTTTAAGCATTCCAAAACATCTCTCAATAATATTCCTAGCTGATGAATGCTTCATATTGAAAAACTCCTCTGGAGTATTTGGTTGATGTCCTGTTCTCCACTCACACAGATGATATCTTTGGCCTCTAAATGGCACAAGAAATCCCTTGCCATTAGTATATCCAGCATCAACAAGATAGTAATATCCTAGAAAGAAGGAAATTAATTTTAATAGTGTAAAAGTATATTAAAATAATTAAATAACTTTATGATTAATGTAAAAGTATATTAAAATAATAGTGTAAAAGTATATTAAAATAATTAAAGGAACCTATCAAATCACTTCTACTTACCATCATATATTGGCAATCCGTTTCTTTTACTTAAAGCATCTCTTAAAACTCTACCATCAGCAGCTGAACCTTCCCAACCGGGAAGAACGTAAATAAATTGCAAGTTTTGAGAACATACTCCTAAAACGTTTGTAGCGATATCGCCCTTCCTGTTACGGTATTGAGGTTTATCAATTTCAGCTACCTTGACTTCGACATAAGTACCATCAATAGCTCCTATACAATTCTGAAAAATCAACCATAATTAATTTTTTTATAATAATATTTTAGTAGTAATAAATAATTAAATAATTACAAATTCAAATTTAACTTAAACCATTTCCACTTGTCATCAGTGCAATCTTCAGGCACAGACATAGGAGTTGCTAATAATTGACTCTGTAGTCTAATCACCGCTTTTAAAACTTTGTTGAAAATTCTACTAATAGTTTCACCGGATCGCTGAAAATTCAATCCTATAGTACGATTTTTCTGGTCCCATGCGAGTATGTGCAAGAATATAGCTACTTGTTCATCTACAGTTGTATTTCTAGTATCTCGGAAGTCCTCTAGTTATACGAAGCATCATAACTAATTTTCTAAAGGTAAACCTGTCCATACGTGTTGCATTATGACACCTTATATCACTAGAATATATTACCCTGTGGATATAATGTGACCTATCGTACTCATCAACCGAATAAGGAGCTTTTAAATAGTATTTTTGATAATGGTGTATGACAATGATATATATATATATATCACATTTAGCATGATCCTTAATATGTTCATCCATTGCCGCCGCCTATAAATCATAAGATAGAGATATTTTCTCACGGAAGTTAAATCTAGCCTATCCATCTGAATGAATCACCTATTATGAAAATACTAATAATATTAAAAAGGCACAAAAAAATG